GTCGGGGGCAGAGGGGGGGAGGAGGAGGAGCAGGAGAGAGAGATGCGGACGACAAGAAGGGGAGGCTGAGAGAGGAGAAGGAGCAGAGAGAAGGGGAAGAGGGGATAGTGAGAAGAGAGGAGGAGGGAGAAGGGAGGAGGGAGGAGGGACAATGATGATGGGGTATATTGGAATTGCGATGCTGTCACCCAGGGTCTTGGAGATCCCGAGAGAAAGAGGAGGATGATACGTTGGAGGAGGAGGCGGATAACCACTAGACGATGATGATGACACATAGACCGACGATGCGGATGAACTGGATGACGCTCAACTGTACATCGTAAGCCGTAAAAGAGGATGATGGGTTTGATGATGCCCTTGGCGATGATGATGATGATGATGATGATGATGATGATGATGATGATGATGATGATGATGATGATGATGATGATGATGATGATGATGATGATGATGATGACGATGTTATCGATGAGTTTGAGGATTGGGGTGGCGAGTGCGTTGATGACGTGTACCATTGTAAGGATGTCGATGCCAACATGTATTATGGATTCTTCTCATGTCATGCGTTGCGCTTCTTGTCGTTTGTCGGAGAGCACCGCCTCGACCTCACTCACCCCCAACGTGTTTTTTCCACGCCCATCGTCAATCGTACTCAGCTCAGCATAATCCGACTTGGTCTGCTTAGGCCCAATTCAGTACTACTCAGGACTATCCATGTGCAGCCATTCGTATTTTCGACCATTCGCATTCAGCCTCAGCCATATTCGGAGGCGTTCATGTTAGACTCACTCACTCTCAGATCCACTTACACTCAGACTCACTCGCGCTCATATTCACTAGCATTCAGACTTTCTCATACTCAGACCCACTAGCCCTCGCACTCATTTACACTCAGACTTAACCACGCTCAGGTTCATAGGCACCCAGGTTTACTCATGCTTGGACCCATTCATAGCCACGTTCAGCCGTAACGGCACCGCAATGTAACAGACAAACTATTCGGGCACCCCAACGAGGAACCATCGGGGGAGGGGGAGGACACTTGCCCCTTCGCGGCAAACTCGTCGGAGATGTCTCGAGCGGTTCGCTCGTTTGGCGTTCCCGATTCCTCGTTTTTTTCAGAGCCGCCGCCAGACCGCCACAATAGAGTACGAATGCCAGTTTGGCACTTCAGGAGGAGCCGCCAGGGGGAGGGAGGGGGGGGCACTTGCCTGTTCGCGGCCAACACGTGGGGATGACTCGAGCGGCTCGCTCGTTTGGCGTCCTTGCCTCCTCCATTTGGAGAGCTGCCAGATCACCGCAATTGGCTATGCGTGGCCGCTTGGCACTTCAAGGAGGAACCTACAGGTCGAAACTTCAGTTTTGCAGTTCAAGGAAGAGCACTTCAGTTTGGCACGTCAGTTTGACATTTGCCAGTTCGCGCGCAGTTGGTGGTGATGTCTCGTTCGGTTCGCTCGTTTGCCCCCGACTCCTTTCTTCGGGAGCTTCAAGGCCATCGCGATATAGCAGGTAAACTTATTGGACACCACAAGGAGGAGCCGCCAGAAGGTATTGCATTCCCCCGTTCGCGCCCAGATGTTGGGGATGCTTCGAGCGGCTCCCTCGTTGGGCGTCCCCGACTCTTTTATCTTGAGAGTTGCGCTCGGCGGCGAAATCCGAACCCCACCCTCGCCCGTCCACGGTTCGGGCAACTCGATGGGCGGGGGGGGTAGGGTTCGGAATTCGCCGAACACGCGGCGAAATCCGAACCCTACCCCCGCCTCCCGTCGACCCAGGAGGATCGATGGTTGGTGGGGGCAGGGGTCGGATGTCGTCACCTACTCAACGTCTCCGCAAAGTAGCAGGCATCGCGTTTGGGCATTTCAAGGAGGAGTCGCCAGGCGGTCTTAGACCTGTCCGTTCGCAGCCAGGTGGGCACGCCTCGAGCGAAACGCTGGCTTGGGGGTCCCCGACTTCTCTCCTGCAAGACTCCCCAGGTCAATTCGACGTAGCAGGTATAGAATTTGGGCACTCCTCCAATGGGGGAGCACTCAGTCGCAACTGGCTAAGACTCTCCCACTCAGATGCTCACCCCGGGAAATGTCAGGAACTTATGTATGCAGTTTGGGGCCTCCACGTGGAAAAATGACTAGTATATAGCACCCCGCAATTGCGGATAAGAGTGAGGGGGTGGGCGCGGGCGACGCGGGCGTCGTCAAGCCGGCGGACCTCGTGGCCCCCACCTTCCTTGTCGATGGCGCTCTCCTCCTCCTCCTCCTCCTTCTCCTCCTCCTCCTCCTCCTCCTGCTCCTCTTCCTCCTCCTCCTCCTCCGCCTCCTACTCTTCCTCCTCTTCCTCGTCCTCGTCCTCGTTCTCATCGTCATCGTCGTCCTCCTCCTCCACCTCGTCCTCCTCCTCCTCCTCCGCTTCTTCCTCGTCCTCCCTCTCCCCCCCTCGTCCTTCCATCATCGTCCTCCCATTGTCGTCATGTTCCTCCTCGTCGTCCTCCTCCTCTTCCCCCCCTCCCGATCCTCCACCCTCCTCCTTTTCGTCGTCGTCGTCGTCGTCGACGTCATCGTCGTCGTCCCCTCCCTCCTCCTCCTCCTCCTCCTGCTGCTGCTGCTCCTCCTCCTCCCTCCTCCTGCTGCTCCTCCTCCTCCTCCTCCTCCTCCTCCTCCTCCTCCTCCCCCTCCTCGTCCTCCTGCAAAAGCAGCCCGCCGCAGGCGCCGAAAAAATTGGTTTGTACACTGAACGTGGTTTGGGTCGCGGGTGGGCCGCGGGTTCTCCACCGGGAACGAATGCAAAAGATGCTCGCCGCAGGCGCCGAAAAAATTGGTTTGTACCCTGAACGTGGTCGCGGGTGGGCCGCGGTCTCTCCACCTAGAACGATTCAAAAGATGCCCGCCGCAGGCGCCGAAAAATGTGGTTTGTACCCTGAACGTGGTTTGGGTCGCGGGTTGGTCGCGAGTTGATCGCGGGGTGGGTCGCGGGCTCTCCACCTGGAAGGAATGCAAAAAAAGCCGCCGCAGGCGCCGAAAATGTTGGTTTGTACCTTGAACGTGGTTTGGGTCGAAGGTGGGTCGCGGGTGGGTCGCGGGGTGGGTCGCGGGTGGGTCGCGGGTGGGTCGCGGGTGGGTCGCGGGTGGGTCGCGGGGTGGGTCGCGGGGTGGGTCGCGGGGTGGGTCGCGGGGTGGGTCGCGGGGTGGGTCGCGGGGTGGGTCGCGGGTGGGTCGCGGGTGGGTCGCGGGGTGGGTCGCGGGTGGGTCGCGGGGTGGGTCGCGGGGTGGGTCGCGGGTGGGTCGCGGGTGGGTCGCGGGTGGGTCGCGGGTGGGTCGCGGGTGGGTCGCGCGGGTGGGTCGCGGGGTGGGTCGCGGGTGGGTCGCGGGGCGGGTTGCGGGTGGGACGACGACAACAAACAACAACAACAACAACAACAACAACAACAACAACAACAACAACAACAACAACAACAACAACAATCATTTTACCCGAACGCGTGGTGTTCTCCCCAGTGCCAGGGTTTTCATACGACACCAGGCAATACCCCCACTTCGTGGGGGGGCATTACAAGCTCTACCAAATATCCAAACGACTCTTCGCGACCACCCAAACCCAGCTTCCCGCCCTATGACGTTGGGACACTTCACTTCGTGGCGTGCGGACGACCGTGGCTACTACACTGGCGTGGGGTACACACCCACAGAACTTGGTCACTTATTCGGGGCGCGCATGTGCCCACATCTTTGCGACCTGATCTGTCACATACAGTGGTGGATCCAACTGTCGGAGCGCCCCGCATAATTTGAAAGGTGTATTATACTCGATGCCCAGGTGGCGGATGGCAGAACCGTGCTGCTCCTCCAGCTCCTGGGCGCTAGAAATACTAACCTTGCCAGGCACAACCCGATACTTGCCCCACCAAGTCTTGCACGCCTGGTGACTGACCTGGATACCCTTTGCAACGAGCGCCTGATGCAAATAATACGGGCTCTCGCAGTCGGCCAAGGGAGGCCGCGACAGCTCCGGGCCATACTGCTCGTCAAGGGCTTTCGCCGTCAAAGCCATGGACCATCCAAGAACACAGGCGATACCTTGATCCGAGATGGCTACGGATGTGCCAGTGATCAGTCGGAGGCTTCCTGGGGCCGCTTGGGGTCCTCTTGGGGAAGGGGGGAAGCCTCCTGGCGCCGCTTGGGGTCCTCTTGAGGGGCTTTGGGGGGCTTCTTGGAAGCATCTTGGGGCCTCTTGGGGGCTTATTGGGTCCTCACGGCGGGCTCTTGGGGCCTCTTGAAGGCCTCCTGGGGCAACCTATGGCGCAACCAGTAGGGGGACGTTTTATTCTCGGCGGCCGAGGGCGCAACCTATGACGCAACCAATAGGGGGGCGTTTTATTCTCGGCGGCCGAGGGCGCAACATATGGCGCAACCGCAAGGGATTCTGGCCCCTGGCAGGCGCGCGAACCCCGTTGCAAGAGCGTGCGAAAGTAGCTCGCGCGAGCTCATGTAACATAAATGTTGGAAAACCATTGGTTTTTTTAGGATTCGGACAGCGCGCGCGGGTGGAAATTTTGAAAAGTCGTGCAGGTGTTTTTCGAGGACCTACGGTGCGATTCGTGTGATTTTATGATGCGCGGTGCTAAAATTCTTAAGAAGCCCAATGGTTTTTGGAGATTTCGGCGTGCGCGCGCGAAGAAAAAACGAATGTGTCCCGCATGGTATTATTTGACAGGGATGATGGCCCTGGCAGGTGCGCAACCGTTGTCGCAGAAGTTCGAAAAAGTTGCTCGCAAAAGCCCGTTTGACAGAAATGTTTAAAAAGTGTTGGGTTTCCTACGAATCCGCAAGAGCGCGCGGGATGAGATTTTGACATTTTTTTGTTGAAAAACCATTGGTTTTTTGATGTTTTTATGTTAAAATCGCTCCGAACACTAAGCTTTTGGAAGGATTTCGTCTTGCGCGCGCGAATGTCCACTTTACCTTATTTTTTGCAAGGGATTCTTGAAATTTGATTATATTAGAACA